AAAAAATATATTTTATTGATTTTTTATAGAGAGGAAGGGAGAAGGATAGAGAGTTAGAAACATCGATGAGAAAGAAACATCAATCAGCTGCCTCCTGCACACTCCCCACTGGGGATGTGCCCGCAACCAAGGTACATGCCCTTGACCAGAATCGAACCTGGGACCCTTGAGTCCGCAGGGCGATGCTCTATCCACTGAGCCAAACTGGTTAGGGAAATTAATTCCCTTTTAATGTGCACAAATTTTGTGCACTGGGCTACTAGTGTAGTGATAATTTTGTTGAAAATCATCTGAGGAAATATATGATTTTATAGTGCATTATGCAGTATATTTGAAAATTTGGAGAAATTTGTTGTGTGGAAAAATTTTTAATGGGACTGTTGATTAATAGGTGAAAAAATAAACCATTGATAAATTATCCTTAGAGTACTGAAATACAACATTGTTTATGTTTTCTGTATATTAAATTAACATATATTATTCCCTCCTTAGCATGAGTCCCAGAGATTCAGTATTGAATAAGTCAGTGAATTTATTTGGCTATCAGACTTGTAGATGCTGAAATAGATAATGCCAAGTACGTTCACAAAAATCAGACATTTATTTAATTTGTTTATTTACTGTGGATGATGTTTCTAAATGGAAGAATCTGGAAAATATAAGTGAATGAGTTTCACTTGTTAACAATGAATGATTTTTTTCTTTTTTCCTAATTAAGAATTGCCAAAGGTATATGTAGTAAGTGAAATTTTTGACCAGGAAGTCTTTTTTAACTATTCATATTTATATTTTAGTATTTTGAGATAAATAAAATGCAACTGTGTGGAAGTATAAAAGATATTATTGGGAAATCATACCCACTTAATCCTAAGAATTTAATTCTAAGAATAAATGTAAAAAATTTTTCTTTTGCCTTTTTTATTGTTTTGATTTTTTTAATTAAAAGTGCATTGTTTTTACCTAGAAATATTTTTCAGACTATAGTGGCACAATGAAATAAGACCCCCTCCAAATATCTGTATTCTTTCAAATTTAAGAGTGAGTCTTTGCGGCAACCAAGAACAAAAGAACAAGAAGAGGATCTAACAAGTCAGACCTTACTTGTTCTCAATGACATGAAGATCCGTTTTCCAGGGAAATCAGATGCAGAAACACAACTTCTGGTAGAAGATGTGAGTATTTAACATGTATAAAATTCCAAGGAGCTCATTCCTTTTATTCATCTTAGGATATTAACATTTATTTACCCATGGAGGCATTCTCAATGACATAGTAAACTTAACTGATGTTCTCTTCAACCTCCTCAAGCTGCAGAAAATACAGTGGCTATTTGAATTATTATGATTCATGAGCAGTGAGATTACCTTTATAATTAGCAATGCAAAATACCTTTTAGTGCATTGTCCCATTTTAATGATGCAATCAAGTGAAAATGATTCATGTTATTCAATTATTGCTCTTAATAATTAAAGAACTATCAAGTTAAAGCTGCTTCTATAAAGATTTAGAAAGATCTAATATCGAATTGATATGTAATAAAAAAAAGTGGGCTTTGGGCATGAAATATCGAGAATGTGACACCCTGAATGATTTTGGTCAAATTTTGAAATGGCTTATGCTCTGTTTTTCTTGTTACACACACATTTGCACCACCCAGTGGAATATTCTAAAATGGCAGAGTCCTAAAATTCACATTAAACTCAATGACTTTTCCTAATTAGAAAGGTCCAAGTTATTTAAATATTTTTGGTGAAAGAACATTTCTTAATTTAAAGTTCTGTCTCTTCATTCAAACATTCTTTTCAAATTGCTGTTCGTAGATTCCTTAGTAATAGAACTTTGTTTTCTGGTTTCCCTAATATTATTATTTTTCCAGTGGAGAGGACACCATCTAGTGGCCAGTTGTAGGATAAAAACCAGATCTATGCACTTGGCCTTTTTTCACTTTTTGGCATTACTTTTGTCTAAAGCAACTATCTAGAAACAAATAATAAAAAATGACTTTATTTGTTTAAAAAATCAGTCATGAATATTTCTATTTTGAAATCATGACATAGTTGTAACCAAAACCCCCAAATATTTTGCATTGTTGTTATATATTTTAAAAAAAGTAAAAATAGCACCTTGCCTGCAAATGAACTGTTATTTGTCACATCAAGGGAAAATGAACACAAATTGATATTATTTGTAAGTCACTATGCTAAATATAGTTTTATTTATGTTATCTTATTTAATCAAGTTCTTTTCTAAATATAGCCAATGACTTTGTACCAGACATTTTGCTTCTATTTCTTAGCTATATTAGTAAGATACTACCGTTTTGAATCATGTAGAAGAAAAATTAAATAATCAGGGAGTAGAACTAATATTTGTGGCTAATGTGATTGTTTTATCAAAAAACATGGGCTTACATAATTAATAACTAATAATTAGATCATTAGATTATTAGTCATTAGATTATTTACTATATGTTCACTATATGCAGCAAATATTTTAATCTGTTTGTTACAGTATATATTACTAGAATGTATATTCATAAATTTTGCAGATTTGACAAAAACAAAACAAAGGGATAATATAATCCTAATTATGTATGGGCTATCTTCTAATGTATTATTCAATATTCTGTTATTATGGGTGATATGGTAAATACAGGTTTTGAAATTAAAATGGAAAATCTACATCTTGGGCTTCTTTCCAAACCTTATATGCCTAAAGACATTTTACTTCCACTTATTAGAGACTGTGTGCTTTTTACAGCAAGAAGCAAAAAAAATTGGATTCAGATGGCTTCTTAACCTTATGTTAGAAATCCTTGCACATGTCTTTTTTATTAAAGTAGACATTCTTCATTGCAAGTAATATCATAGTGCTTTCATTTCAGAAATTCAGTACTAAAACCAGTTTCAACCCATTTATTTACTTTTTACTTGTTACTTTTGAGGAAAATTCTAGATTAAATTTCTTAATGTTTCTCCCCCATGACAGATCCTTGATAACTGGAAGTTTCATAAAACAAAAGTGGCTTCATATTGGCTCATAAAATTGGACTCTGTAAAACAACGAAAAGTGAGTAATGATTCAAAACAAGTTTGCCCTTTTAGATCGTCTTAAACTAGAATGATTAGGCCACATTCATAGTCAAGCTATATACATATTTATTTGTTTACTCATTTCTTCAACAAATAAGAATTGCATACCTGCTATGTTATAGGCAATGTCCTAGATTCTGAGGATAAAAAAGTGAATTAAAAAAACCTATGGTCTCAAAGAGCTTACAAACTTGAGTGGAACAGGTTTAAGAGTAAAAAAGAGAGAGAGGAAGGAAACAGCTAGTACTGGCATTCTTTGCAAGCAATTTTGCTGTTGAAGGGAAAAGAGATGGGGGTTAATGACAAGTTTCCTTTAAAATTGAAGAGATTTAGCCCTGGCCAGTGTAGCTCAGTTGGTTGAGTGTTATTCTTTGCACCACAGGGTCACAGGTTTGTTTCTCATCAGGGCACATACCTAGGTTGTGGGTTTCATCCCTGGGGCTCAGGCAGGAGGCAACTGATTGATGTTTCTCTCTCTCTCTCTCTCTCTCTCTCTCTCATCTCTCTCTCTCTCTTTCATCCTCTCTCTCTCTCTCTCATCCCCTATATCTAAAACAGAAATCAATAAGCATGTATTTGGGTGAGGACTAATAATAATAAGATGAAGAGATTTACAGTTTGTGTGCTGATGAGAAAGATCTAGAATAGAGGAAAGAGAGGTGACAGAAAGTCCTTAAGTAAGTAATCAGGGGAGGTTTGTCCTAACAGGAGCATTAATTCTAATTATCTAATAGGAGGGAAGGCAGAGGCCATGGCAGTGTTGTGAGAAGATGTGAGGGCTTTAGAGATTTGAGCAGGCAGTGGAAGGTATGTAACAGTTATCTTGGAGAGTAGGAGACGGGTGTGGCCAGCAGTCTGAGGGGCCCATCAAATGCATTGCAACATTATTTTGGGGGAGAGATACAATTTTATTAGCTTTAGTGATGATGTTGTATTCCTTTAGTAATGCAAGCTATTATTTCCCCTTTCTAAGATTTATTGCAATAAGCTGAAAGTTGACACTAATTAAGTGATTACCTAACTTATGTACTCTCATCCAAGTAAACTGAACTCATTATATTAACACATTCAACAAATAATTGCTTGGTGTTCTGGCATGTGCCAAATATTGTGCTACTGTTGAGGAGGGTGTAACAAAGCTGATAAAGAGGTAGATTGCAAAACACATTACAAACCCTGAATAGATTTTTGCCAAATCACTGACTATGGCCTTGCTTGATTAAAATAAAGACCTTTTATTAGAATAAGTGTTCTGAGTTTTCTCAAGTCCAGGATTTTTTTTAATCTAGAAGTTAGAATAGTGTAGGTAAGTTGCTGATTAAAACAAAACAATCTAGAAACAGATTAAAGAATTTATAAGATATTAACACATGATAAATGTGACATTTCAAATCAGTGGAGAAAAGATAATTGTTCCCCTAAATGATATTGAAACAATTGAGTACCTATTTATAAGAAAATTAAGTTGTAGCCTTATCTCTTACCATATACAAAAATAAATTTCAGGTTACAATTTTATGTGTAAAAAAGAAAGTATTAAAAGTTTAAAAGGAAACATAGAAGGATCTCTCTATATAAAAGCCTAAGTGACCATTACGACCGAGTAACTGGAACAACCGGAACGACTGGTCTCTATGACATGCACTGACCACCAGAGACAGATGCTCAATGCAGGAGCTGTCCCCTGGTGGTCAGTGCGCTCCCACAGTGGGAGCGCTGCTCAGTTGACAGACCCGTCCTGGTGGCCTACCAGCCAGCTACAGCCACTCACTCCCTCAGGTCCAATCTCTGGAGAATGGGCCAGGCACCGATGGACCAGTGCTGCTGGCAGTATCCCGACAGCACCGCCGGCCTCCTGGAAGTCAGCCTCAGGCACTGTGGCTACTTGCTCTCCCTAAACACTCTGCAAGGAAGAAAGGATATAAAAGTGGCTGCCAGGTGGCTCCCGACAACTGGTGCAAATGTCAGTGGGATGGATCTGGATCCTGGGCAGGTGAGGGCCTCCCACCGCCTGCCCGGAGGGCCATTCTTGTCCTGGCCCCCTGGCCCCTGGGGACTCCACCTGTGCATGAATTCGTGCACCGGGTCTTTAGTATATTTATAATCTTAGAATGGGAAACAATGTCTTAAGAAAGACCTAAAACTCAAAAATATTAAAAAAGTTTGACCTATTTGATTACATAAAAACTTACCAATGGCAAAAAACTCCTTAAACCAAGCTGAAAGGCAGAAGCAGTGAGGGAGATGGGGGTATTTGCAGCACATAAAATACAAGCACCAGTAAACCAATACCTCCTATGAATCAATCAGCAAAATAAACTATTCTATAAATATTAATAAATAAAATGGCAAATGTATAAAAAGGCTATGAAAAGACAATTTATGGATCTTCAAATAGCCAATTCATGTATAAATAGTTTCTTGGCCTCACTAATGATGAAGAAAAAGCAAGTAAAAACCATCATATTGGCAAAAATTAGTAAGACAGATGATATCCAGTCAAGGAAATAATGTGGATAAAAGGGCCTTTATCACACAATTAGAGGGAGAATACATTGGTACAACCCTTTAGAAAGATAATTTGCACTACCTATTAAAATGATAGGTGTCCGTAACCTAATGACTCAGCAAAACCACTTGCCGAACTCTATCCTACAAAATAATTGCTGAGTGAGAGACTTTGAGTAGGCAGAAAGAGCCGTTAGCCTGCAATGTAGGTCTGACACCTGGGAGTGAAAGGCAAAAGGGTGGAGTATGAAGACCCTTAGACTTTAGTGAAGTTCTGAGAAAGACCTGGCCAGCTGATGGGGAGCCCAGAACAAAGATTGCTTTTCTGGAAATCAAACTGGGCAGAAGTAGTCCCTCTCTGGTAACCCACCCTGTTGGATCCTCGGCCAGGAGCAGTCTGGGGAGAGCATAAGCGTGGCTTGAGTGTTGCAGTGATCCTGAATGGCGCGCTGTCAGCTAACTTCACTCTTGGAAACAAGTTAATTCAAATGGCATGTCTTCATGGCTGCCACAAAGGCTGGGTGGGCTGTGATTTAAGTTGACAAACATTTATTGGTTGCCAATTTTGTGCATGAACAATGGTACTGGGGATTTGCAGAGTTGCTTCTTCATTTATTTATTTGCGTATTCAACCATGCATTGAAAAAGATTAATTGAAGGACTACCACATCCTGAGCACCATGCTAGGTGTGGAATGCACAAGATTCGTAAAAATCTCTTCATTCCATTTACAGACCGTTGTTGAAATATGTGTCTCACTGTTTCTGTTCCAGGATCTGAGCATTTGCTGGTTGCTCATTAGAATGTTGTAAAACTCTTAGATAAGAATGCCGTACACATGAGCTCTTCCACATGCCTTATTTCAAAGTTTCCTTAATGGGTGTAAAATGTAAAGGTCAAGGATGTAGGGATTAAATACTGAAAAGAATCCTCACCAGGTGAAAATGGAAACAGCTAATCTTACTAAATGCCATGTTGTGGTAATTTCACACTTGCATAATTTAGCTTTCTGCCAATAATGCAGTTGCTTTATATAGTTTGTAAGGAATATATGAAGTATGAAAATATTTCAGTGTTGTGTTTTGTGAAAAATGCCAAATTTGCTGAAAAGTTTCGTTTTTAGGCATAAAGTAAGATTGGAGGATGAAGAGAGATAAGTACTGATGTTAACATGGTACTATATTTGCATTTATTTTAGGGTTCTAAGAGATCTTTGTTTATCAAGTACTTTTTTTTTCTAAATAATCATTTTTCTTTAATACCTACTATAGTTGCTTCTGCATGCATTTTGATGTTATTATTTTCCATCTCTTTTTTATTTGGGCTAACATAGGTGCTATACAGACCTGTTGGTTTTGCATCAGCAAAGATGCCTTTACCCTATAGCCATGGCTGTTGAATGCATTCTTTTACAGCATGTAGTAATGTTAATGTTACTTCCAGTCCTCCTCACCTCATGCCATTATTTTAACTTAGGACCAACGGTTCAGCCATATGGAGAAATTTGTCATTCAATATCTGTATGTTCTTATAAAAATATGAATTTGTCTCTGTGCTTTATGCCTTCAAATGCACTGTATTTCATATGGAAAAGACACATCTTTTCATTTTATTAATTCTTTCATTGACTGAATCTTCCATTTACTTTTTCCCTTGGAGAACTTAATGTCGGACTGGGATGTTTTTAAAAGTCACAATGTCCGAAACAGATGCCCATGTTCTGTATGTTTGCCTCACATGAATCCACAGGTAAACACAAAGGGCACCTTGCTGATCATTTGTTTTTGTGTTTCAAAATTTTTTATTTTCCATCCACTTTCTTCTAACCCCAAAGCACCCAGAGGTCTAAAAGAGAACCTACAAAAAGAACCTACACTGATTTACCTCACCCCGCCGGCCTTTCTAAACTTAGTGGTTGTTTTACTAAAGGGGCAGTCATTGTCTTCCCATCTGTATGGTCTTTTAAACAAACTAGTCCTTACACCAAGGCCCCCGATGGAGGGAGTGCCTAGGCAGCCTTGTTTATACAGAGCGATCCCACCCATCTTCCCAAGTATTACTTAACTGGAGGTGAATTTGAATCTTAAAAGAGACCATTGGATTCTCTTCTAGGGTAGTATTCCATTGTGTAAATGGACCGCAGCTTTTTTATCCACTCATCGACTGATGGGCACTAGAACTGCTTCCAAATCTTGGCTATTGTAAATAGCATTGCAATGAACATAGGGGTGGATATACTTTTGAATCAGTGTTTTGGATTTCTTTGGATACATTCCCAGAAATGGAACTGCTGGGTCATAAGGCAGGTCCATTTTTAGTTTTTTGAGGTAACTCCATATTGCTTTCCACAGTGGCTGCACCAGTCTGCATTCCCACCAGCAGTGCACAAGGGTTCTCTTTGCTCCACATCCTTGATTTATTGGTGATAGCCATTCTGACAGGTGTGAGGTGATATCTCCTTGTGGTTTTAATTTGCATTTTTCTGATGATTAGTGATGTTGAGCATCTTTTCATGTGCCTTCTGGCCATTTGTATGTCCTCTTTGGAGAAGTGTCTCTTCAGGTTCTTTGCCCAGTTTTTAAATTGGATTGTTTGTTTTTTTGGTGTTGAGTTATATAAGTTCTTTATACATTTTGAATATTAACTCCTTATCAGCTGTATCTCTGGGGAATATGTTCTCCCTTTCAGTGGGTTGTCTTTTCAAAGGATTTGCCTGTGCAAAACCTTTTTTATTTTAATGTAGTCCCATTTGTTTATTTTTTATTTTGCTTCCCTTGCCGAGGTGATAGATCAGAAAAAATATTGCTACGAGAGATGTACTGCCTCTGTTTTCTTCTGGGATATTTATGGTTTTGAGTCTAACATTTAAGTCTTTAATCCATTTTGAATTTATTCTGAGGTATGGTGTAAGAAGGTGGTCTGTTTCCATTTTTTTTTCTCTTATCTGTCAATTTTTCAAACCTATTTATTGAATAGACTTTGTTTACCCCATTACATGTTTTTGGCTCCTTTGTCAAATATTAATTGACCATAAAGACATGAGTTGATTTATGGGCTCTCTGTTCTGTTCCATTACTCTGTATGTCTGTTTTGCCAGTAGCATGCTGTTTTGATTACTATGGCCTTGTAGTATAGTTTGGTATTAGGTAGCATGATTCCTGCAACTTTGTTCTTTCTCAAGGTTGCTGTGGCTATTCAGAGTATGTTGTGGTTTTATATAAATTTTTAGAATATTTGTTCTAGATTGCTTTGGGTAGTACGGACTTTTTAATGGTGTTAACTCTTCCTACCCATGAACATGATATATGCCTCCACTTATTTGTATCTTCTTCAATTTTTTTCTTCAGGGTTTTGTAATTTTCTGAGTACAGATCCTTTACACCCTTGGTTAAATTTACTCTTAGTATTTATTTTGAAGCAATTGTGAATGGGATTCTTTTCTTAGTTTTCCTTTCTGATAGTTCATTGTTGGTGTATTAAAATGCAACAGATTTCTGGATATTTAATTTGTATCCTGCTGCGTTACTGTGTTCATTGATCAGTTCTAGTAATTTTTTTGGTGAAATCTTTAGGGTTCTCTATATTCTGTATTATGTCATCTGCAAATAATGACAGTTTTACTTCTTTTCCAACTTGGATGCCTTTTATTTCTTCTTCTTGTCTGATTGCTATGGCTAGGTCTACTAGTACTAAGTTGAATAAAAGTGGTAAAAGTGGGCATCCCTGTCTTGTTTCTGATCTTAAGGAAAACACTTTTAGTTTTTGCCCAGTGAATGTGATGTTGGCTGTGAGGTGTCATGTATCGCCTTGATTACACTGAGGTATGTTCCCTCTATTCCCACTTTGCTGAGAGTTTTTATCATAAAAGTGCTGAATTTTATCATACACTTTTCCTTCATCTATTGATATGATCATGTGGTTTTTATCTTTCAATTTGTTTATGTGGTGTATCACGTTTATTGAATTGTGAATATTGTACCAACCTTGCATCCCTGGAATAAATCCCACTTGATTATGATGTATGTTCTTTTTGATGTATTGCTAGATCCAGTTTGCTAATATTTTGTTGAGGATTTTAGCATCTATCTTTATCAGGGATATTAGCCTATAGTTTTCTTTCTTTGTAGTGTCTTTGTCTGCTTTTGGAATTAGGCTAATGCTGGCCTCATAAAAGGAGCTTGGGAGTCTTCCCTCCTCTTGGATTGCTTTGAAATAGTTTGAAAAGAATAGGTGTTAGTTCTCTGAATGTTTGGTAAAATTAACTAGTGAAGCCATCCAGTCAAGGACTTTTGTTTATTGGGAGTTTTTTAATTACTGCTTTAATTTCACTATTGTAATCTGTCTGTCCTCTGTCCAGATTCTCTGATTCCTCCTGAGTCAGTTTTGGAAGATTGTAGGTTTCTAGGAATTTATCTATTTGGTCCAGACTGTCCAATTTGTTGTCATATAATTGTGATAATATTTTCTTACAAACCTTTGCATTTCTTTGGTGTCCATTGTTACTTCTCCCCTTTCATTTCTGATTTTATTTATTTGGGTCCTCTCTCTTTTTTTCTTGATGAGTCTGGTTAAAGGTTTGCGAATCTTGTTTATCTTTTCAAAGAACCAGATCTTGATTTCACTAATCTTTTGTATTGTTTTTTAGACTTTATTTTGTTATTGATTTTTTCATCTGTTTCTTCTTGCTTCTTGCATATGTTGTTGATTTTTTCCTCCATCCGGTTTATGCACTCTAGGACCCTTATTCTGAATTCTTTTTCTGTCATGTTGCATGCCTCTGTCTCACTTAGCTGCTTTTCTGGCGAGTCCTCCTTTTCTTTCCTTTGGGGGTTTCTTTGCCTACCCATGTTTGATCTCACTGACATATCTAGATGTTGAGTCGTTCAGTGGCTGCTCCCTGGGTGGCAGTGGCTCCTTGGGCTGTGGTTGCTCCTTGGGTGGTTGCGGTAGCAGCTGCTCCTCAGTTGGCAGCAGCTCCTCTGGTGGGTGCTGTTCACAGCTGTGGTGGCTCTTCTGGCTGGTGGGGGGAGGCTTCACGTACAGCTGCTGTTCCTCAGACAGAGGGTGTGGTGATCAGGAGGCTGCTGTTTAGAGACGATGCTTGATATGATTTCAATCTTCTTAAATTTATTGAGACCTGTTTTTGTGTCCTAATATGTGGTCTATCCTAGAAAATGTTCCATGTGCATTTGAAAAGAATGTATATCTGCTGCTTTTGGGTGAAAGGCTCTGAAGATATCAATTAAATCTATCTGATCAAGTGTGTCATTTAAGGCCACCAATTCCTTGTTGATTTTCTGTCTGGAAGATCTATTCATTGATGTCAATGGCATGTTGTAATTGCTTACTGTGACTGTATTACTGTCAATCTCTCCCTTTATGTCCATCAAGATTTGCTTTACATAGTTAGGTGTTCCTATGTTGGGTGTATAAATGTTTACAAGGGATAATGTCCTCTTGTTGGATTAAATTTAATCTTCTTAACTACAGTGGTCTGGCTTGCCATCTGTCATATACTGAAATTTCATGAATGCATTGATGTATTTGTGGACGTTTTATTTATCTTCATTTATTTATTTTGGTCTTTTTTAAAAAATTGTGGACTTTTTAACCTGTGCTTTTGTTCAGTTATGAGTGATTGTGTGTAATCATTAAATTAAATATTTCACAAGCTTCCATATGTTGAAAGCATTTTTCCATATTACATTTATTTTCCAAATAAAATAAAAATAAATAAATAAATAATTTTTTTATCTTTGACTTTGAGACATACACAAATACACCAGATTTTGCAATATTTTGTGTTTTTCCCCCCCACTAGGTTTTGGACATAGTAAAAACAAATATTCGCACAATTCTTCCACGCATCTGGAAGGTGACTGATGTCGATGAACTACATTTATATCGGATTTTTAACCGGGTTTTTAATCGCTTACTCTGGAGTCATGGCCAAGGACTATGGAACTGTTTCTGTGATTCAGGGTAAGTTTAAGTTATTTTTTATTGTTGTCATTCAAAATATTTTACGGTTAGTTATAAAAGTAGCTCAATAAAAAGATTGAGTTTCTTTTTTTAAAATATATTTTTACTGAAGGAGAGAGAGATCGAAACATCAATGATGAGAGAGAATCATTGATTGGCTGCCTATTGCATGCTCCCTACTGGGGTTTGTGTCCACAACCTAGACATATGCCTTGACTGGGAATCAAACTATGAACTCTTGGTCCATAGGTTGACACTCAACACTGAGCCATACTAGCTGGGAAAAGATTGAATTTCTTTTTTTGTTTGTTGTTTGTTTTATTGCTTAAAATATTACAAAGAGTAGTACATATGTCTCATTTTTTTCCTCACTTGACCTTCCCCCGGTCACCCCTAACCCCCAGTGTCTTGTGTCTATTGGTTATGCTTATATGCATGCATACAAGTCCTTTGGTTGATCTCTTACCCCCGCCCTGCCCCAACCCTCCCCGGTCTTCCCATTGTAGTTTGACAGTCTGTTTGATGCTGCTCTGCCTCTGTATCTATTTTTGTTCATCAGTTTATAATGGTCTTTATTATCCATAAATGAGTGAGATCATGTGGTATTTTTCTTTCATTGACTGGCTTATTTCACTTAGCATAATGCTCTCCAGTTCCATCCATGCTGTTGCAAATGGTAAGAGTTCCTTCTTTTTTACAGCAGCATAGTATTCCATCGTGTAGATGTACCACAGTTTTCTAATCCATTCATCTACTGATGGGCACTTAGGCTGTTTCCAAATCTTAGCTATGGTGAATTGTGCTGCTATGAACATAGGGGTGCATAGATCCTTTCTGATTGGTGTTTCTGGTTTCTTGGGATATATTCCTAGAAGTGGGATCACAGGGTCAAATGGAGGAAACTCCTTCCATAGTGGCTGCACCAGTCTGCATTCCCACCAGCAGTGCACGAGTGTTCCCTTTTCTCTGCATCCTTGCATCCTC